GGACCAGATGACATGGAGATAGAAAAAGAGGGGAAAGTGCCACCTAAGCATCCAACTCATTAAAAACGTCCACCAAAGTGTCCAGCATGTTAAAAATAGCCAGCTAAACTTTCCGTTAACTGATTGACGAGGTTAGATGATGTTTCACGTCAAATTGGATTTATTAAAATACAATTTGAATTTATTAATTTAAGTTTACAAAATAATAATTTAAATATATAAAATGTGAATTAATTAAAATAATATTATTATCACTTTTGAAGAAAGTCTACGTAGATGTATACATTATGGAAGAAAAGTTTTGGTATTCTATTTGAAAATTAAATATATAAAAATATGAGTTTAGATAAAATAACATAAATTATCATAATATAATATTAAATTGAGTTTTCTTTTTATTATTCTATATTGTAAATATGCTCTTTATAATTTTGTGTTCACTGGCCCTTGCATTTTTTGAGCTTCTATCATTTGGCTGTACCCCTTCCTGGAGGTTGATACACCATGGGCACCTCTATGGTATGTTGCTGCCAGGCTGATCCCCATTTTTTATCTTCTTTGACCTGGAATTACACAATAAGAAGCTAACAGGGTGTGCTTTAATTCACCTTAGAGGGACTTGGCCCTTGCTGTTGTTCACATTCCCTGTTAGGGGATATATGACACTGATTGTAAAGGCCAAGAATTTAATTTTCCCCATATTGTTCCATCATGATTTTGTCCTTCAGAACTCAATATCCCCTACTTTTGGAAGTGGCATTCTTTTTGATTGCATGCTTGTGCATACGAACGAGGGGATGCTTTTATAATCCTACGAACTTGGACATTTACAAACATGAAATTGTTCCATCATTTAAAATTATTTTAAAAGTAATAAAATTTAAAATCATAATTATAAAAATAAAAATTTTAAATAATAGATAAAAGTAATTTTAGAAAAATAAAATCTTATTTAAAAAAATTAAAATTTTTGATATTTTATTATTAATAAATTTTTTATCTTAGTCTTTAAGAGTGTTTAAAAGAGATTACCATCAGCCTTCAAAATCTTAATTCTAAATTTAAATAAGTATTTATAAGATTTTAAATATCTTAGTTGAAATAAATGTTGGACCACGTAAAATATTAAAGATCTATCAAAGCCGTAGAGAAGATGCTGACACCTTCACCGCATCAGCCGAGAAGACTCCTTGTCTAGGGATGGCAATTTCCTCCACGATCTATGGAGGTTCACGGAGATCCCCGTTATACGGATGGAGATTTCAAAAATATTCTTCCTCGTGAGACGGGGATGAAAAGCATTTTTTTTCTTGTGAAATTTCGTGAGAAATTTCCTCCACCCCGTGGGGATCCATATAAAATAAAAAAAATTATATATATATATATTAACAATTAAGTTTTACTTACTCAATCTAATTAGCTAACCCAATACCAATACAACTTAAATTTCACAATCCATTCTTTTTTTCAGTTTTCCCAAACCCAATTGTCAAGTCCAGCCTATTCTTTTTGTCAATCTAGTCTTCCTAAACCTAATTGCCCAATCCAATTTGCATTGGTAACCCTAGAAGGACTATCCAAAGATTTCAATTTCAAATTTGTGATTCCTCTTCTTCAGTCTCTTCTGTGGCTCTATGTTATAACTTTGTTTTTGCTCCTCAATCCTCATCTGTGATTCTCTTCAAGCTTTCACCGTCACTACCCATTATGCAACCACTGCAACGTTGATCTTCTCCCATCTCTCACTCACACTCGACTTGATAGCTCTTCTCCAATCTCTCAACCAGTCACTAGTAACTCATCTCTTTTATGTCGTTTTTCTTAATGAACTTATTGCTGGACATGTGTAGCAACAATTTATGTATTTTTTTTCTATGAACTTTGCTGATGACAGTTACAGTTTATGGTTTTTCTTTTTTATGAACCTTTTGCTGGATTTGTTGGACTTATATGGCAGTTTATGCCTTTTTTCTTTATGAACTTGTTGCTGACTTGCTAGACCTGCTTGACATGTATATATTAGCTGTGTATATTTACTACTTGTTTGTCTTGTTTCAAATTTTTACTTTATATGATTATTTGAACTAGTTTTATTTAATGAATGTGGAAACTAATGGAGTCTAAGCAGACTCATGTTGAGTTTAGTTTTGATTAACAAATAGTGAAGGAGATGATAGTTTTATTTGATGGATACTTCGAATACCCGCGGGGACCTATCATTCCCCGCAGATATAGGGACGGAGGCTATTTTTGAACCTCTATAAAAAATTCCCGTAGGGATCTCCGTACCCATCATTGGCAGAGATGGGGATGGAGAAGCGGTCCCCGCCCCCGTGGGGACTCGTTGCCATCCTTATCCTTGTCGGAATTTTGGCCTTTAAAGCAAGTGTGGTTAAAGGTAAAATGACAGTTTTGGTCTCTAACATTTGAATTTTGCACAACTTAATCCTTAGTTTTCTAATCTCTGCAATTTAGTGTTAAAAGTTATGATTTCTTTCAAGTAAGTCATTTCTTACACAAATAATGAAAATTATATAAAATTAAGTAAAATCTTATAAAACTCATTTAGATATCAATAATATCAAATAAAAAATTTCACATTAATATCTATATAAATTCATCTCATCATCTAGTTGTAGCAACTCAATTTGGAGATTTTTCTCCTTCCTTGTTTTCTTTGTTTTCAAAGAGGTGAAAGCTAAGCCTGGCCTAGAAAGTCAATTGGCTATAAGCCTTAAGAAAGGTGCACTCTCAGCCTTAGGTGGTTCAAGTACACCTCTCCTAAATTTGTGCCTCTTCAAAAATAAATAAATAAATAAAGAGAGAGAGAGAGAAAGGGGGCAAAGTCTCTCATAGCTAAATTGCTCTCTTGAGAGTTTGGCTTGCAATTCCATTTAGAGTTGAGGGGAAGCTTTTTGAATTTTTTTCATTATCCTCTTTTACGAGGAGAGTTTATTTCAAGCGCTCAGATGGTTGTTACAGTTCATTAACTAAGACAACTTAAGGACATATTTTGGTCTGTCAATCATTTCCTCTCTAGATGTGGTCGTTTTGGCTCCTAAATGTGCCAAAACTAACAAGCGCTGACAATCACAAATGTTTTCTGTCAATGGTTTTTTTGTAAACAAATTTTACTTTTATTTTCACTAATTTTTTCGAGTGTAACTTTCTTTTTTCACTTAAATTTTTATGTAATTGAATTTATTATCATAGAAGTTGATTTTATTAAAATATAGTTTGAATTTATTAATTTAAATTTATAAACTAATAGTTTGAATACATAAAAAAGTATCATATTTTATAATTCAAATTTTATTAGGTTATAAAATATGAGTCATTAGATAGGAGTGGGATCATAATATTAAGAGGTCCACCTCCATTTAATAGTTATGATTATATAGTTTGGTACAATTTAAACTGTACAACATTTTTTTCTCTATAAAATGTGAGTTAAGTAAAATAATATAATTGGTATCATTTTTTAAGAAGCTCTGATTAGGTGTATGCATTAAGTGTTTTATTTAACGATTAAATATATAAAAATATAAGTTTCTATAAATAATATTAACTGTATAATGTAATATGAAAGTGAGTTTTTTTTATTGTTCTTCATTGTACATGCTCTTATAATTTTTTGTTCAATAGCTCGACATATTATGGGCTTCTCTCAGCCGGCCGTACCCTTTCCTGGTGCTTGATACACCATGGGCAGCTCTATAGTACGTTGTTGCCAGCCTGATCTCCATTTTTATCCGTCTTCTTTGACCTGGAGATACACATATAAGATGCTAACAATTGATGCATTAATTCACCTTACAGGTACTTTGCCCTTGCTGTTGTTCACATTCCCTGTCATGGGATATATGGCACTGATTGTAAAGGCCAAGAATTCAATTTTCCCCAGATTGTTCCCTCATGCTTTTGTGAGATCTTACTAAACTGATCTCTTGTCCTTCACTCAAAATCCTTTACTTGGGAAATGGCATTGTTTTTGATTGCATGCTTTTGTATACGAGCGAGGGGATGCTCTATAATCCTATGAACTTGGATATTTACAAACATGAAATTGTTCTATCATTTGTCCCATAATCGAATCATGTGTTTCACATATTTCAATATTTGTTGTGTAGTCTAAGAAATCTCATATGCCCAATATCTCCATTTCTTGTGGATTTATTTTACATTGTAAAGGTAAATAGAAAAATAGCTATAGGTTTTTATGTATTATATAAAAAAATCAAATCACATTTGTTTCATATATTTGACCTTATCAACGGTAAAAAATGATTTACAATTACATTTCTGTGTCTTGAGCTAAAAAAATAAAAGAATTCAAACTTTCGCAATATATGAAATCAAATACTTATGATAGCAAACAAATGCAAAGGCTCTCCTAATTCACGACACTGCAATGCCTCCGGACTTCACCTTGGGTACCGGTGAGCAAATCGAGGGAACCCATATGCACCATTGCCTTGGCAAACTTCTTAGCCCACAGAGCACCGTGCCTCGCATTGTTCACCACCATCCCTGTTGTTAAAGGGCTGTTCATCAATGTCTGATCAGAAGTCAGCAATCAGCGGTTGTACTTCAGCTCTTTGTAGTATTTGTTATCCAGCCGGGTAGGTGTTGCTATGTCCAGCGCCACGGTGGGGTCTGCACCGACCCTGGGGCACTTGGTTTTCAAGAAAGCAGCGTAACTTGGGTCCAAAGATGGGTCTTGAGGAGGAGTGGCGTTGAAGGAGTAGAGGCGTCCGGAGAAGGAAGAGCAGTGAGAAACCCCAATGGAATGTGCCCCGGAAAGTGTTACCATCTCGTCCACAGACATCCCCTTCCTTGCAAAATTCTTGACAAGTGCCGATGCGGTGAGGTTGGGTGCAGGCAGATTCTGGATCACTTCGTCCTCAATTGAAATCCGTCCGTCACGGCGTCCGGCGGGAACGGCGTAGTATATTCCTCCTGCTTTGTAGGCGCTGTCCCTGGCAGCAAAAGCAATAACATCGGCGCAGGAGACGGTTCCAGGACAGACAGCCTCAATCTGTGCTTTAGCTTCATCAATTACCTCGAAGCCTCGTAAACTTGGGTAGTTGACAGGACTATCCCGTTCTGCTTTGTTGCGCGGTGTGGATTTCAGTAGCACAGAAGCATCGCATCCCTGAACAACCCAATATTTCATAACAATCCCAAGTTAGCAACAGAAAAAAACATGAACAATTCCATGGAAAACACAGACTGATAAATGATGAATAGAGCAGAGCAGATACATACCCTGACAAAACAATCATGAAAATGCATCCTTATAAGGCCAGCAGCTATGCCAGGATTGCTCGCAACTGCTTTCTTTACAGCTTTTCTGACGATTGTTTC